ATGGGAAATGATTTGGAAATGTATTGATAAAAATGGAGTTAAATGAACTATTGTGTGAATTGTGTAGATACATAAATGATTATTTATGTATTACATTGAATGATTAAGTTGCTGCTACATATCTCTAAATATGTAGGGATTGGCAAATGGAATATATGATGGATAAGAATAATATTAATAGTATTGAAATACTAGTTAATGATTGTTGTAATTGTTAAGAAATTGAATCTAAGGATTTGATTGTAATTGATGTACTTGATTGTGATGCAAGTGACTAAATTTACATGATATGATGTAAGATCATGATGAGGCAGTCCGTAAGGATGTCCCGAAATAGATTATTGATATTACAATTCTAGGCACAGTGAGTGCTTAGGAATTGGGGTCTATGTCAATGTATGGAGATGTACTTGAGCCCGATGCTCTAGAATTGCATTGGGTAGACATAAGGATTTGGTTCAGCCCATGTAAGGAGATGTACTTGAGCCCGATGCTCTAGAATTGCATGGGTGAACATGACGTCGGAGATTGGTTGAGTAATTAACTTGTGATTGAGGTGCATGGTGATGTAGTCGAGTTGGACTCGAGAAATGCAAACATGTGTGTTAGGGTTGAACCCTATGTATTGTCGTGACTAGGGGTCACGGGGTTTGGGTTATGTTTTGTAAACGAACTTTGGGCCACGGGCCGACTACTTGACTTTATATATAAAGTAAGTATATTTTGAAAAGGGGTAACTTGGGGTTACGGCCTAGATTATATTATCACCCTATTTGAGGGTCTTGTGTTTGAAATACTTGTTGTATATCTATTAGATGCCATCCACACCAGTACTTTATAGCCGTATAGAGTACTAACCCCCTTTCGGGGGGCGTCCCACCACCATTTCAGGTTGAGGCTAGAGCTTGCTACCTGTGCTTGTTGATCGGGCGATCATCTCGGAGGGAAGACTTGGTTCGTGCTTCCTCCATTCTGTTTTTAAACAATTTAAACATGCTCATGGATATTGTTTTTCATTATGGAGCCTACGTGCTCGTGTTTGCCCCGTGTGACATTTGTTTTCAAACTATGTTTTCCGATGCGTATTCAATTACTTATTATGTATGTTTATGAATGACTTATGTGTGAATGATATTCGAGATGCCTTGTATAATATGGATGAGTTAGACTGTGGTTGACTATTCATATTGTACGGCGGATTGTCGATGTGTCCGGATAGGTCCGGGGCGTGACATTTTATCACCCAATCCAAACATTGTTAGATCAAATGACTAAGCTGTACTAAATCAAAGCAAAAAAATTGGATGTTTAAATGTGAAGGAATGATTACTATTCATTTTAATGGTAAAATGTTCAATAGGTGGAGATCCGCAGACGCTGTCATTTAGCAATGAAAGACCAATTTCATACGGAGTAATTAAGTTGAACTTCATATGGAAGAACGGAACAAAATAGAGCAAGATATGGTCGCATCAAATTCTACACGAGTTCGAAATGAAATCAGAAACATTTGTGAATATATGGTTAATCTGTAACTTTTAATTAATGCATTGTAAATGAAGTTGGAACAATAGCTTTAGAGCTCCAAATTATCTTTCCGACGAGATATAATACCCTCTAAACAGAATAACACACAGCAAGATATGAGTGTCACAAATACTTAGTTTTATCTCTATGATTTAGCGTTTTCAGCGTAAATAGAGCACTTTTAGTGTAAATACAGTGTATTTTAGTAATTAGGCAATCATCCCTTGATATATTGAAACCAGCGCCTGAAGAAAAAAGTTTTAGAACTAGATAAGAACTTTGCAAAGAGATATTAAACGTTTTCAACGGAACAAAATAAAGCAAGATATGATCGCATCAAATTCTACACGAGTTCGGAGTGAAATCAAAAATATTTGTGAATATATGAGTAATCTGTAACTTTTAATTAATGCATTGTAAATAAGTTTTGAACAATAGATTTAGAACTCCAAATTATATTTCCAACGAGATATAATACGCTCTAAACGAAAGAACACACAACAAGATATGAGTGTCACAAATACTTAGCCTTATGTCTATGATTTTCAATGTACCTCGCAAAGCTAATGATATGTCTCTCAAGAACGGCGCATGATCGCATGTGGTTGGGGTTCTGGGGTAAACCAGAAGAATTCATGTAGATCTTTTCCTTAGCTTTCCAACAAGGTATTATACGCTTAAATCGGATCACCGAGTCAAAAGTTATGGCCAAAATAGTGCAAAGATGCTGAAAACTTTGAATTTTGAGAATGAAGTTGGAACAATAGCTTTAGAGCTCCAAATTATCTTTCCAACTTATCATTCCAACGAGATATAATATGCTTTAAACAGAAGAACACACAGCAAAATATGAGTGTCACAAATAATAAGTAGAGCGTTTATACAGTTTTATATTTTTTTATTATTTCGCGTTGGAATTTTTTTAACCATTAGTAATGAACAATAATAGTGCCATCATATTGTTTTTAAGCGGTGATCCTAGCGGGATCCTAGTACAATTAATGCATTAATTTTTTCAAAAGATTGAACATTGATAAACAGTATAATGCAAGATAGAAAAAAGCAACATTGAAGACCTGATCACAAAACTAATGGTGATAAAGAAGAGAATGAAGTTTGATTCTTGATGATCTTAAGATAATGAGCTCCTTTGCTAATAATGTTTTTCGTTTTATTGGACTTATCAATCTACTTTTTCAACAAACATGTAATTTTTTATTTCTAGAGCGCTGAAGTTATAATAAAAAAGATAAGGTTGAAGTTACTTTTCTGATTGTATTGGCTGAAGTTATTGTAGAATATCATTTTAGTTGTATTTCATATAATTTTTCTTTATTTAATTAATAAAGTATATTTTAAATATAATTCTATCATAAATCAACAAAATCAATCAATCAAGTCACTTCAATCAAAACTTTATAAATTTCACCAGAATCACAGTCGATTTCGATATTATCAAACGGGCCAATAAAGACCTATGATATATTGGTGAATTTATTATCCTGCATGGTTATATAATATATATACACACACATATATATGGAAAAGATCATGTCCAGTCGGAGGGACAAGATCCTCAGTCCGGCCGCCACCGTTTGGGACGGTTCCCGGTGGATTTTTTTGATGATTTTTTTGGGCATGTTCCTCAACATGTCTAGTATATCCACAAAAAATTGTAGCTAAAAATTCGATCGGGAAGACAGTCATCTTTTTTTAACTGCCTTCCCGATCGATTTAACTGTGTTTTATATGTATAATTTTGCGCAGTTATCTTCAAAATATTTTTTAACTGTCTTCTCGATCGATTTTTGGCTGAAAATGTTTTGTGGATAAACTAGACTTGATAAGGAACATGATCAAAAAAATTCATTAAAAAATTCAACCGAGAACCGCTCCAAATGGCGGCGGCCGAACAAAGAGTCCTGTCCCTACGACTGGACAGGATCATTCCATTATATGTATATGGGAAAAGAGTTAAATAAACACATCTTCTATCGTGAAAAAATCATCTAAGACCGCATCCTAAAATTCAATCACATAGATACATTTAGAGTTAATGACTCAAATAGGACTAATAGCAAAGTTAATTGCACATCTAGGACTATAAACGGAACTCAAGTTTCGTAGGATCAATTTCAGCCCAATTAGACAAAAATACCCCTCTTTTAAATTTTTAAATTCCAAAAATTTAAACTAAAAACTATTGAACCCTAGCAGTATCACTACCACTGCCAGATCCAAATGGCTTGCCGCCGCCCCTTGCCGGCGCATCCTGTCGACGCCCTTGTCGGCGCTTTCTGCCGCCGCCCTCACCAATGACGGTGCCACTTGCCGCCGCCGTCGCTTCCCGCACCGGCGTCGCCATCTGACCGGCGTCGTCATCCACAACCACCACCATCCGCTGAGCACCACCACCATCGTAACAACTCAGACAGAATAAATTTGCCATAATGTTGGCAGATTTAGAGTCGGGATTCGATTCACATCTGCCATACTCAAGAGTTTCAGATATGCCAAAGAGTTGGCAGATTCATGTTGGAATATTAACACAAAACTGCCATAAATTTGGCAAAAATTGAAAAAACATGAAGTAAACAACCGAATATTCAAACAACTAAATTTTTTTGATGGAATAATTTTTTAGCACAATCGGAAAGTAGAAAAACGAAGCTATTGACAAAAAAAATCAGAAAAACCAATTTATACAAGACTCTTTCTACCATAACATGATGTCAATGTACAAATCTTTGCCATAAACTTGGCCAAATATGAAGCAATCATCCAAAATGTATGAAAATCGGATTTTTTCTTAAAACTGAGAAACCAACAACTAGAAAATCAAAATAGAAGTTCGAAAATTGGAAAAATCAATTCAAAATCTAGAAAAACAGAGGAAAATCAAAGAAGAAGAAGAAGAAGAAGAAGAAGAAGAAGAAGAAGAAGAAGAAGAAGAAGAAGAAGAAGAAGAAGAAGAAGAAGAAGAAGAAGAAGAAGAAGAAGAGGAGGAGGAGGAGAAGGAGGGGAAGCAGAAGAAGAAGGAGAAGAAGGAGGAGGAGGAGAAGAAGGAGGAGGAGAAGGAGGAGAAGAAGGAGGAGAGGAGGAGGAGGAGGAGAAGGAGAAGGAGAAGGAGAAGGAGAAGAAGAAGAAGAAGAAGAAGAAGAAGAAGAAGAGGAGGACGAGGAGGAGGAGGAGTAGGAGAACCTTAATGACAGCGGCGCACGGTAAAATCGACAGCAGTGGCAGCATGAAAGAGAAGTCGATCGATCTAGTGGGCAAGGCGAAGTCGACGGCGGCGGCGATGGTTAGGGTGAAGTCGATCGATGAGCGCAGGGAAGAAAGAGAAAAATGTGCGCAGGAAGAAGGGGGAATGGAGAAGCGGTTGTGCGCAGGGAAAACGTAAGAGATAAGGGGGTAATAATGGAATGAAAAATACGGATGTTTTCAAATAGGAGTAAAATAGTCCTATTTAGAGAAAAAATCATACATGGTCCTATTTGAGATTTTCTCTTCTCTTTTAGTCCTATATGGGGCAATTACTTATACATTTACTAATGAAAAGCAATCAAATAGATCAAATGACCTGAAAGCAACCTTTTGGACAATGCAGTACCGCGATCCTGAACTTAGAGATCGTAATGTTGCTGCTTCTGCTACTTATCTCTCGAGTTTATTTCCAGAGGATAAAAGGAGGACGACCTCTGTTTCTCCTAGCCGTCCTTCAGTACCCCAATCAAATGTTTCTAAACCAACCGTCAGCCGGTTTCCTACTTCTTCATCCACCACCACCTCTGCCACCAAAAGCTCTTATTATTCTTCATCGCGGCCGTCTTATGCCGAATTCCCACCACCACCACCAGTTACAGCTAATAGTAAGAAACCAATTTGCCCAACTACTAAAAAGACTCTTAGTAAGGTGACCCGAGATCCCAAGAGCAAGTCTCCGGCCTCTGGCAAGTTAGCTGCTTCGTTTCTCCTTGAAGCACATTCGTCAGCCGCTTATTTTTTTTTTAATTTCTATTTCTCCTTTAGTTTTCTTCTTTCTCAATGCAGATCTTCTGAGGCGACTTATGTGTTCTTTTTTTTTGTTTTGAGAATGGGGTGACTTGTGTCTCCTTTATTCTTATTTAAGGAATTTTCCTATTAATTTTCCTATTTCATTATTATTTAAGTTTGATCTGATCTAACATTATCTATTTAAGTTTGATATTGAAACTAAAAACATTTTAATTAAGAGAAAAGGGTCAAATAAGGTCTTCTACTATTATGAAATAAATAGTCACATAAGACCATGTACTTAATAAAGTGTCATATAAGTACATCTACTTGTATAAAGCAATCATATGAGTCCTGACGGCTTAATTTACACCTCCTAATCCCGATTTTAGCTTACATGTCGATTTTTTTGACTTGTATTTCAACCAATCTTAGTTAAATATTCGACATATGTCGTATAATGTATTCTAAAAAGATGGTCAAAAGTACGTTGAAACCGGGAATAAGAGGTGTTAAATAGGTTATTAGGACTCATTTGATTACTTTTTATAAGTAGGAGTACTTATATGATACTTTATTCATTACATGGCATTATGTGACTGTTTCATAATAGTGGAAGGTCTTATTTGACATTTTTCTCTTTAATTAAAGTATTCCAAGAAGGAAGGAAGAAGAAACAAGAAAAACAGAAGGGGATTTACCTAAATAGGAGTAAATAAAAGGATAATTGCAACAATAGGACTAAATCATTATAAAATGTAAAAAATCAAAATAAAAAAAATCGTAAAAAATAATTAAAAAATATATAGATCCCAACCACCACCTCAGTCACCTTCCAGCACTGCCACCTTCGGTCGCCGGAAAAGATTGCCAAGTTGGGGAAAAAATGTCATCATGATGGCAATTTTGAAGAGAAAGCAAGAGAAAGCTGGATACTTTCAAAGAGTAAAAATGTCATCTTTATGACATTTTTTGAGAAATGTGACATTTTTTACATAAGATGGCATTTTTTTACGGCGACCAGAGTCGGTGGTGCTGGGAGGTAGAGGACGCGTTGGCAGTGACCTACATATTTTTTAAATTTTTTAGGTATCTTTATTTTATTTTTTGGACTTTTTTTTTAAATTAAAAAAATATTTTTTATTTTTTATTTTTTATTTTTATTTTATTTTTTCACGTTTTCATTATTATTTTATAAATATTTTATTATTTTTTATATTTATATTATAAATAAAACTATGATTTTCTTATTAATAAAATAAATCTATTGAAAATGATAAGAAGAGGGTAGAATGGGAAGAAAAGACATATATTAGTCTTATTTTGAGAATAAAATGATTGTACTCTTATTGGTGGGCTTATTTTACTCCTACTAAGGGCTAATACCCGAAAACAAAAATATAGAAACAGTAAAAGAAAACGCAAGGAAACTAAAAGTAAATAAGAAGAGGGAAATGAGGAACAAAATAGAGAGAAAAATAAAGGAAATTTTAGGAGAACATACGATTGTTGGATGGCTACGATCAAAAGAAAAGGTAAATATAACAAATAAGGTGGCCTGTAAAATCAGAAAAAAAAGATAATGAAAGTAAATAAAGAACAAGTTAGTTATAGGTCGTTTGATAACACTGTTTTTCGGCTTATCAGACTTATCAGTCAACTTTTTCACCAAACATGTAATTTTTGTTTTCACGTGTTGAATTGTGTAATAATAAGAAAAAGTGAGATTGGAGTTACTCTTCTGACTGTATTGGCTGATGTTGCTGTAGATGACCATTTTAGCTATTTTAACATATAATTTTTTCTTTATGTTATTGATAAAATATTAGCAAAATCAACCAATGCAGTCACTTCAGCCAGAACTTCATAAATTTCAGCAAAATCAGCTGAATCAATCGATTTTGGTGTTACCAAATGGGTTCTATATATTTGTTGAGGGTAAGTCCCGTAGATCCGAAAGCCCAACACGAACTTTGGATATATCAGGAATGGCCCAGAATCAAAGTGTATAAGAAAATATAAGATCTGAACTAACTAAAACTCGAAAGCCCACTTGTATTAATTAACCAATCTGATTACAAAGGATTTCCCGATCGGTAAGTCGGAAACTATACTTTAATACAAGAAATAAGAGCAAATGATGCTATTCTAGAGCTTGAGTATTGAAAATCTAACACTTACAATGACTTGAAACCTTCTATTTATACTAATGAAGAGCATGGGCTGCCTCTTGCTGATTGGCCGTTGTTCCACCGACTTGGTCATCCATGCTTCCACTTGCTGATGTCATAGTCTGGCATTAACTGCACCTGGCCACTTGCTGGTTGGCCGTTGCTCGAACGGGATGTTGGTCCGTACTGAAGATGCTGTCAAATTGGCCCAAGTATAATATATAGCCCGAACCTCGTTCGGTATGTCTTCTTATTGGGCCAACCTTTATTTGGGCCGAACCCCGTTCGGTATGTCTCCTTACTGGATCTTTTCATCATGGAGTGATGGGCCTGTTACTTGGGCCGGATACCTTAGGCCTTCCCGATCTGGGTATTGGGTCTCTAGGTCAATATCCCAACAATATGGTTAGAGTGTGCTTCAGAGATGAATAAAAAGGAAAGAGAAAAAAGGGTAAAATGTCACTAACTTACTGCCGGAGGATTTCTCTAAAAAAAACTTACTACATGAGGTTGTTGTCCGGTCATATGGTTTATTTGATTGTTTTTATGAGTAAATGTACCGATGTGATTGATTTCGAGTTTATTTGACCCTTTTTCTATATATATTTCTTCCGTCTCATAAAATTTTTCCAACTTTTCTTTTTGGGTCGTCTCTAAAAATATTTTCAACTTTTCCTTTTTGGACAATTTGTGTGGCTTACATTAATTTCACATTTTGCTTTCACACCTACAAACATACATTTCCACTTTATTTCACTTTTTTAACATGTGTGTAAAGTCAAAGTTGGAAGAATTTATTGGAAGGGGAGAGTATATATGTGATCATATGAGCAGAATCGATGATACATGAAATGTGAGGGCCTGAGGGGAAATATAAAGACCCTGGACGTTGTGGTCAACCAAAGGGACTGATGAGTGCTGGAGACGAACAATCCAATCATACAAAAATCAACACGACTCTCTCGTGAATCAGGCGCTTCTTTGACCTCATCTCCTCAAACTCAACAAATTTCTCATGCTTCTCTCGCTTTCCGGTCCCACCTCTCCCCATAAAAGGTCAAGTCTTCAGGCCACTAATTACGTACTCCGTACTATTTTTCCGAATGTTTTAAAGGTCGTTTTCATTTTCAAATCAAATGACATTAGACTTCAATATATGAGATCTGATTGAAAAGATCAAATTAGACTGGATCAAACATAGAAATCAAATCAAATCAAATCAGACTTTTACGGTCGCAAAATACACAGAAACCATTTATTTACCAGACTAGATCAGACTTAAACAAAAACAAATCAGATCAGACTAGCAGATTTTAGTCCAATTAAAACATCTTTAGGATGCTTTTACTTGGACTGTAATTTGCTGGTCTTGTCTCGTCTGATTTCTTTGTATTTTTATAACTATACAAGTATGGTCTGAACTAGTCTGGTCTGGTTTGGGAGGGATTACATTCCAAGTCATAACATCCTTACACTTAGGATGTTTTTACTTGGACCGTAATTTACTGGTCTGGTCTGAACTGGTCTGATCTGGTTTCTTTGTATTTTTATAACTATCCAAGTCTGGTCTAGTTTGAACTGGTCTAGTCTGGTCTGGGAGGATTACAATCCAAGTAAAAACATTCTTACATAGAAATACTCTATAATAAGGCTAATTGTAATCAATAATATTACATATTACTAAAAACAAAATTTAGGAAAAAAAGTTTGCGTAAAATTTCTATAAATTTATCGATACACGGTAAAATGAACATAACTATAATAACAAAAGCAAATTACTAGGAATACATGATCAATAGAAGTGATAATTTCTAAAATATCACTAAGCAAGTTTCCCCCATAATAAAAACTTCTCAAAACTTAATGGTGTTGTGAATGAATGCTATACTACTGTGTTTTAATGCTACCTTTTCTCCATCTAATTTAATTATTAGCCATATATAAACATGTGAAACAATGGCAAAAATAATACCTATAACTCTATAAGGTTTAAATGGACACAAATGTGACCACTTTTTAACTTTCCAAAAACATGACCTGTCAACACAGATCCCTCTTCATCAACTTCCTTCCTCGTCGCTGAACCACCACCACCCAAACCCAGCACCATCGTCGCGTCCTTTCCTGCGTCATCACCCTCTCCTCCCTTGCGGATTATGTTTCTTTTCTCTCCTCTCTTTCCGCAATCTTCATCCATGGAGGACATGTCTCGATTTGTGTTGTCGTCGAAGGGTACCAATGCTTGGTTTTCATCTAGGGCTTCATCATAGCAGTGGGGGCGGCTTCAATTTTGACAATGGCAGGGGAGCGGTTTTCGGCAAAGCTAAATCTGGCTGGCTAGGGTTGCGGGTGGTGGTGCGGTGGTTGGAGAGGGGGCTAGGGTTGGGAAGGTGGGTTTAACATGTGGTTGGCCGCTGCTAAAGATCCTGGGGATGGGGGTTGTGGCAGGTTAGGGGAGGGGGTTGGGGCTGCGACAGGTCAGGGGAGGGGGTTGGGGTTGCGACAGGTTAGGGGAGGGGGGTGGGGCTGCGACAGGTCAGGGGAGGGGCAGGGGTTGTGCCATGTTAGGGGTTGGGGTTAAGGCTGAGGCTGTGGAGTGCGCTGCATCGGCGTCGCCGTCGCCTGGGCTGGATGGTGGTCATCAAGTTTGGGATGTTGGGGGCAGGGGGTAGCTGGTGGCAATGTTGGATTGTTGCCGGAAAAAGGCGTCGGGAATCGCCACGTTTTGCGACGACAGTGACCTGGACGGTGGCTATAGAGACACAAACAATGGGTACAATGACAAAGATGGTGGCTACACTGGCACGGACGGTGGTTACAGTGACACAAGCGGTGACGACAGTGACACAGGCGTTGACGACAGTGACACGGGCGTTGGCGATAGTGACATTTGATAGTGACATTAAAATTGGATATTGATGTTAAAATCTTACA